GTTTATCCTGTATTTGATTGTGTTTATCTACAGTTAGTTACACGAATTCAGATATGAAAAGTTTAAGAGTTTTAAGAGTTTTAGCCAAATGCTTTATAATATAGTATAGATAATATAAATTACCATAGAAGTCATTTCTAGAGCATTTCTTTCAAACTAAAAAAAGCTATCAATAATCACAAATTAAAACATTTTTTATTGATATATATATATATATATAGAGAGAGAGAGAGAGAGAGAGGTGTTGGTTATTATACAACCCTTGATATTTGTGCAACCAATACAACTCAATCTCAACTGTCCATTTCATTTGATTAATATGTAATTTCATAGAAGTTTTGATTATTTCCTAATATAAAGTATTAATCATAATTAATGAACCATATTCATCTTCCATAAATATTCAAATCATAATAAATAAACTCTCATCGTTTCCATTAATATCTAAATTTATTGGGTTGCATTAGTTGTACAAATGCGATGGAACCACAATATATATATATATATATGAGACCACAATCAAACAATGAGACAAGGCAAGGCGTAAAATGGAACAAGGACATATAATGAATCAAAAAGTGAACTCTCGAAGACCAACAGATTGAGAGGCGGTTACTGAATCAGAGAGAAAGACATTTTACCACACAGTGTTCATCTGAAGGAATAAGAGGCAATCTCGGACTCGGCCAAATCAGAGACTACCAAACAAGGCCTAAGTCTAATGATTACAGCGAAAAGTTAACGAGATTCAAAATCCTACAAAATATCAAAAGACCGATCATATGTAATAAACTAATGGTACGAATAAATCTTGTGAAAAGAAGGAATGATACAAAAGGAGACAACAAAAAGACAATGTTCTTCATTGGGAACTTTAAAGGGGAGAACAACCAAATGTCGAATGATTACCTTCTATTTCTTGTTGTTATGGAACTCGTCATCAAGATCAACCACGCTTACGAACTCAAACGGGATGATAATAGTTGACAGGACAACACGAGTGTGGTCCTTGCTCTGCTTACGCCAAAGTGAGACTTTTTGCTAGATATCGTCATTGTTTCTAGGAAAAGTATGTCTTTACATCATGTTCAAAAGATGAAAAAGCAAATACATGATTGCACCATATTACTCTTATTTCGGCAAGTGTGTAATGCATTTCGGGTCGAAATTTAGAAAGCAGGTGGAAGTAGGAAACCAAAAAGGCACCTTTTTATGGGCTTTTTAAACAGAATCTAAAAGTATCATTGACACTGACTTCTAATCTTTCACTTTATTAACGATTGTAAGTTCTTGGTGCTGTAAGAACCTGGAGATTCATCCCATATATTAATCAAGTCAAATTATTCCAGCAGTTGTCATTTTAAATGCAATGAATTAAACTTAAACTACAGTAAAATTGACATGTTCGGACTTCGGACGTCAAAACAATCATAATGGAGTACTTAATAAGATTTTAACATTTATAGACATAACAACTATGTTCTCTTACACAAATGCATTAAAATAAAGTGTTAGGACGAAGTTGGACGATCTAACAAGTTCTATACATATGAAGCAATAAGTTGTCGGAACGAAATTGAACAAAGTAATAGGAGTTAAGAAGTAAACTTGTTTCAGCAGTTGTCTTTTTATGTTGAATATGTCATATAAAAACAAGTTTTGTTATAGCGTTAATTATGTTGATGAATATATTGCAATATCAACCTAAATTATATAAAAAATGGTTGTCTGACAGACAACTAGCGACGGGTTTCATCATTTTCGACGGAGTGCCAACGATTTGGTTCGTTGTTGAAAGCCTCCAGAATTATAGTATGTAGTAAAATTTCTTTTTATTCTCTCATGATATCGTTCAATTAAGAGGATGTTTACCTAAATGCTTACCCGGTAAATGCTTATCTATAAGAGTCAACATTATAATTTATTTTGATGAGTAAGATTTTAGTACATCAAAACGTATTGAATGCAACAATTTACCAGGTAAGCGTTTACCTGGGTAAGAGTCGTAATTTTCACTTACCGGGCAAGACTCTCCATCTTTCTCACCGCTCTTACCCAATAAGATTCTTGGCTTTTGTTATCTTCATCCAGTAAGGAAACTTATTCAGTAACCACTTACCGAGTAAGCGTTTAGTAAACGGTCCTAAGTGTTATTGATTTATGTCTTCAATATCAATTTTGATTGATTGATAGTAATTTGCCTTTTTATTGTGTTTATATATTAAGTCGAATGTTTTTATATATAAGTAGTTTAACAAGCCGGAGGTTGTAGTTGATTTTTTTTTTTTTTTTTGGTAATAATCGACAAACATATATATTGTAATCCAGGAAACCTCAACAACGGGTTGGTACGTATAATGCATATATATACAAGTATTAGTGTCAGGGACTAAAACGACAATAAAATTATAAATCGTAGGGACAATATCTGTAATTTTAAAAGCATAAGGATAGAAGTTGCAATTTTTCAAAGTTCACATAGACAAAAACATAGTTTACTCTTAAGTTTTAAGACCATAGTTTCTCTTAAATCTTCACGATAATAAATATTCAACTTTTAGAGGTAGATGACAGATATACATGCATTCAGTAAAAACCCCACGATCTAGTACCACTTAAAATATAATTGGGTTCGTTTGCTTAATACATGTATATCATAGGTAGTAAATTGAATCAGACCATTGTGCAAAGGCTTCTAATGGTACTTTGACTAGTTCGATCCGTCAGACTTGTTTTACGTAATTTTATTCATTCAAAGTATTAAAAATAATATATAACTCAAATCGACCGAGTATTTTACTATTTTAAGTAAATGGACTAAAATTGTTACTTCTAATCTCTTAATAATAGTTATTTGATACTAAGGACTTGTTTGTTTTTTTGAAAATCAACACTTAACCACCTCTGAAGTCTGATCCGGTTAGACATTTACTGATTCAGAGTGTTTTTTTTTTTTCGAAATAAGAGATTAAAAGCTTTGTCATTCCTCTGAAATTTTTAAGTGATAAAGAAACCCCTTAATGCCTCTTAAATTGTAAACGTTTCTCGCGTCTGGATCTCGCTCTCAAGCTTTCGATCTCTACTTAAGGTCTCGATCTCTCACTCTCGATCTCTTGACGAGATACAAGGCCGTCGAGTTTGTCGAATCTAGCATGGTTCTCGGCCTTGGAACAGGTTCACCGCCAAACACGCTACAGACCATATCGGAGAACTTCTCCGGTAAGGAAAGCTTGCTAACATCATTGGAATACCCACTTTGACGCACCCGGTTCTTGATTTGGCCAACGATGGAGTAGATGAAGTCGACCCGTATATGAATTTGGTCAAAGGATTGTGGCCGAAGAGTTGGGAGATAGGGTTGGGAATAAGGGTTAGCCGCAGGAGATAGTGATTTCTACCTAACTGAATTAGGATATGAAATTAGGATATTAATTTTATTTATTAATATAGATTTCAAACTTCAAATGTGTGTCAGTTCATAAAAACAAACATTCTTATTGATTCAAGTTTCAAACTTTAACATCATCTCTTATAAATCAAAAGTGAAATCAGAATTCAGATTTCAATAACTATTAAAAAACATACGTCATCAAATACTTTTATCATACAATTTCATTTATTTGTCTTTATTACCTGGGATTTTACATTCTTCAATAATAATAAGATGTTCTATTAAATTATATATTACTTTTATATTAAATAATTAATAATTTGTAATTGTTGGTGTTTGTACCAGTTTATACGTGTCTCGACTAATTTCACAGTGTATTGAAGTTTATAATTAGGCAAATATTCGTTACAATTAAAACTAGTTTACAAAATGCCAAAATATCCAAGCATACCAAAATAAATTATTTTATAGGACTTAAGTTTACATGAACAAACAATTATGTACCATTTATAAATACGTTGCAATAAGTTTACATAACGTTTTTCTACGTTTTAACAAGGTTTTTAGGAAGAAACTTCCGAAATAAAACGTTCATATTAATTTTCTTATATGAAATTATCTTTGAAAAATGTATTATAAAATCGAGTGTCATATAAAAAGATATATTTATAGGACGCTCTCCACAAATATTCTGTAAAATAGCTAACATGACACTTTATTTTAAAATTATCCTAAAAAAATACGTTAAAACATCTTGTAAACTTATTACAACGATTTTTACATATGACATATTTATACTATATTATAAAGCATTTGACAAAAACTCTTAAAAACAATTTTTTATGCATTAAGTACTGTTTATTGATACATATTACTTAAAATATTAGATTACAAGTAAATTGTACGTAGGTACAATTTACTAAAGCTGTTTGAATTCGTGTAACTAACTGCAGATAAACATCGCATTTTAAATATAAAAAATCTAAAATATAATTATGATAATTATTAAGTTCTAACAAAATACATATTCATTATCTTCATAAAAAATTATATTATCAAACTAAAAATAAAATAATGAATTAAAGAAATACAAAAAAAAAAGTTTAAATAATTAATTTGGTACCACTATCAATAACTTTTTTTCATTTTTTTATAATATATCTTCATATTTATATTTTATTCAAAAATAAAAATATTATCGTTTTCTCAAAATCATATAAAACTATATTATAACATCGGTTGAGACAAAAAAAATGAAATATTAAAATTATGATATATCTCGATACATTTTACTAGTTATTCTAGTATTTAATTAACAAGTTGAATGTTTATGTGAAATATAAGAAATAATGGTTGAAACAAAGATTTAAAACTTACTCTAACTAAGCTTTTGCTTTCTATTGAAGAAATAAAGCAAGTATCTTCTCTCTTTCAGATAACCAGTAGCTACCTCACTACTCATCAACTGGTTAACCACCCAAAAACGACATATCAGCTATCCATGATCGTTTCGTCTTCGACTTCTATATAAGTTTGCGTTGGCCAGTCATATCTCCCATCCATCCATCTCTATCTCTGATTCTTTCACTTCAACTCACCATTAAACCCAATGGAAGCTTGCAGGTTTCGAGCTTTAATGGTGGTTTGCTTCATCTTCCCACTGTTGGTTGTGGAGGGTAGTGTTCGTCGCTATAATTTCAATGTAAAAATCTCTCTCTCTCTCTCTCTCTCTCTCTCTTTATATATATATATATATATATATATATATATTCTTGGAGTATTGATTGCTTTTGTAGTTATCATATGATTTCTAATTTTAGAAGGTTTGTGGTTAAGTTCATGGCCATGCATGCAGGAGAAGGGGTTTCGTTGGGTTTGTTTTCTTATATATTGTGATGCAGGTGGTAATGAAACAAGCCAGTCGATTGTGCTCGACGAAGCCGATAGTTACCGTTAACGGTCAGTTCCCAGGACCGACACTTTACGCGAGAGAAGGCGACAATGTGCTTGTAAGGGTTGTCAATCATGTCAAATACAACGTCTCCATCCACTGGTACGATAGTTTTCTATTCGCTTAATTGATAAGCTAAACCGGAACTGATTAGCTAAACGTTAACTGATATTTATATATGACTTAAAAACATGTTGTAAAGATATAAGGGTAAAATTGGAAAAACAAACTATGATCTTATTGAAAGTTAGTTTGATTATAAGTTACTTTATGGTTAAACAAATAATGCGTTTTCAATGAACTCTAAAAATAAGGTAGTTTATGTTTGTCAAATATGGGTTATAATCGGATCTGTATCTATTTGGTAGGCATGGAATACGACAACTGAGAACGGGATGGGCAGATGGGCCAGCATATATAGCACAATGCCCGATCCAGCCGGGACAAAACTACGTTTACAACTTCACCATCACGGGGCAACGTGGAACGCTTTTCTGGCACGCTCATATTCTATGGCTTAGGGCAACCGTTCATGGCGCCATCGTCATTTTGCCTAAACAAGGAGTTCCTTATCCTTTCCCGAAACCTGATGTTGAACAAGTTGTCGTCTTAGGTGAGTCATCCACCGGGAAAAAAAACTTGAAACGTCATTGTATAGAATGTACAAAATTTATGTTTAAATTTAAAAGTCTCGTTAAATACTGTATTTTTTAAAAACCCGATTTTATTATAATGATGGTTGTTTATTGTAGGTGAATGGTGGAAATCAGACACTGAAGCTGTGATTAAGCAAGCTTTGAAATCTGGTATGGCTCCAAATGTGTCAGATGCTCATACCATAAATGGCTATCCAGGACCAATCTCTGGTTGTCAGGCACAAGGTATATATACATACATATACATATACATATATGTATGGAATTAAAAAACAGCTTTTTTTCTTTTTTTTAGTAATATTTGAATTATAACTTTCTGCATGCAGGAGGGTTTCAATTGAGTGTAGAAAATGGAAAATCATACATGCTACGCATAATCAACGCTGCACTCAACGAAGAACTCTTCTTCAAGATCGCCGGCCACCAGCTCACGGTGGTGGAAGTTGACGCCACCTACGTAAAACCCTTCACCACCGACACAGTCGTCATAACACCAGGCCAAACCACCAACGTCATCGTCACCACCAACAAAAACTCCGGCAAGTTCATGATGGCAGCCTCCACATTCATGGACTCGCCTATTGCCATCGACAACAAAACCGCCATTGCCACCCTCCATTACACCGGTACCCTCAGCAACTCTCCCACCACCCTAACCACCCCACCTCCACAAAACGCCACCGCCACCGCAAACAACTTCATAGATTCCCTCCGTAGCTTGAACTCGAAAAAGTTTCCGGCCAACGTGCCTTTGAAAATCGATCACTCCTTGTATTTCACAGTCGGACTTGGTATCAACCCATGCCCGTCCTGCAAAGCGGGCAATGGTAGTCGGGTCGTGGCGGGTATTAATAATATTACATTTGTTATGCCCACCACTGCGCTTCTTCAAGCACATTACTTTAACCAGAAGGGGGTTTTCACCACCGATTTTCCTGGTAACCCACCCAAGTCTTTCAATTATACCGGAGCTCCACCCAAGAATTTGGCTACTACGAGTGCGACTAAGCTTTATAAGCTAAAATACAACTCAACGGTTCAACTGGTGTTACAAGATACGAGCCTTATTTCGCCGGAAAACCACCCGATTCATCTACACGGGTTCAATTTCTTTGCGGTGGGTAAGGGTTTGGGTAATTATAACCCGAAGGTAGATCCGAATAACTTCAATCTGGTTGACCCGGTTGAGAGGAATACCATTGGTGTGCCTTCTGGTGGATGGGTGGCTATTCGATTCCGAGCGGATAATCCAGGTGGAATTTATTTATTTATTCTTATATAATTTGAATGTGACGACGACGTTTTCTTGTGGTTTGATATATATTAAATGACAGTTTTGCCCTTGGATTTGTAGGTGTTTGGTTTATGCATTGCCATTTGGAAATCCATACAAGTTGGGGGTTAAAAATGGCATTTTTGGTGGAAAATGGAGAAGGGCCAAATGAGTCTCTATTGCCACCTCCAAAGGATCTTCCAAAATGTTAGAGAGAGTTGGGAGTTTAGATGTATTTGTTTCTTGAGCAAATAAATAATTTGTTCAAGCAAATTTAAAATAAAAATGTATGTGATTTTTGTTATAATGTTATGTTTTTTTTGGTAATTATATGTTTTATTAATATTTTACGATATATCTGATATGTAATTCAAAATATGGATGTGTGTGAATATGAAATTGAACTGGGTTTTAATTTAGCAGTAGCTGAAGGTTAGTTTATAATAACTTGGTCTCAATTAGCGCCGGTACAAAACTTAATCAAACTCACAACTTATTCGGTCAGCTATGTTTAGTAGTGGTTTAATGATTTAGAAATCGACTTCTTCAGTAATCTTTTGGAGGGCATTATCCAAAAAGTCAAGTTTTTTTAAACTTTTTCTCTCCCAATTAAAACATGTTCATTTCATTTGGAAATACCTCTTTCAAACAAAAAATTTCTCAATATATACAGACAGATTAATTCATACAGACAACTTTATCATACAAGACTTATTAGAAAACCAATCAAACAGCCCCCTAGTTATGACTAGGGGTATTGTAGCAAATTACTAGACTCGAGCTCGAATAACTTTTTCACAGTAGGACCCGAACTCGAATATGTTTTCGATGTTCGAGCTCGAGCTTGAACTCAAAATTAATACAATAGTTTATGTAGGATTTATAAACATACTAACATATTGATTACCTTTATCTTTTGTAATTGTGCATAGTTTAGGGACTTGTTTTGTCATCCAAGTATTTTAGTGTTAGTATATATAAATGAGTAAATTATGTTTTTCGTCCTTATAGTTTGTTAAAATTGTAACTTTCATCCTTATGTTTTCAAAATTACGAATTTCATTCATGTGGTTAGCGATTCATTGTTTTTTTCGTTCCTGAAGCAACTCCGTCAATGATTTACCATTTATTATGAAGAACGAAATAACGATGAATTATAAACGAAAACAATAGTAAATTGTGATCTTCACCATTCATCAATCTCACCACAATTCTAACAAATATGATGCTAAAAAATCATACATAACACCTATGAAGTCCATATCATACAAATTATCATAATCAATACAATCGATAACAATTAGCGACATTATCGACACGGATCACAACTCACCTGCGGTTAACTTCTGACGACGTTGAATCGGGAAAAAGATTTTTGATACCCATTGCACCGGTTTCAGTAGCTGAGCTCGCTTCTTCCTCCAAAACCATATCGCCGCGTTATACTGTTGGTTCCGAATCATCTTTGTGGCCGCTCGCCAATCGAACTTCTCCATCTCCACACGGGCAGCCTGCCCGATATTCTCTCGTAACTTGGCATCATGCAAGAGAGGGACCAGTTTGTTTAAGCAGTCGTCGAGATCTCCGGGAGTGTAGAGGTACCCAGTTTTGCCCTCTTGTTCTTCGGGAATGATGTCGGGTATCCCGCCAGCTCGGGCAGCCACCACAGGCAGCCCGGATGACATGGCTTCAAGGACAACTAGGCCGAGTGTTTCGGATTCTGATGGCATTACGAATACGTCACCACTAGCGTATGCTTGAGATAGCTCGTCACCTTGTAACGTACCCGTGAATACGGCCGGCATGCCTACGAATAACTTCTCCAAGTCCTCCCTGCCCAATTAAACACCTCAAATTCGAATAAATTCAAAACCGGAATCGAATCTTTCAGGCTTCTACCCATCTCTACATCCCATGTTATCGCAATATATTTAGAGCATCTCCAACAGGTTCTTTAAAATAGAGAAAACATGAGAATATGTTGGAGCTGAATGTAATTCCGTTCAGAGATTTATGTTTCAATTCTTCAGTTTTTGAAGAAATTATAGAGAATATGTTAAAGATGCTCTTACATATGTTATTATGTAACGTCATCGAAAAGCGGCAAACTGACCCAATAACTTTTGAATCAACTTATGACCATAGTGATATAATGGTATGACCGATAACTACTTACCTATATGGACCATCTCCAATGAACGCTATCCTTGCCTCCGGGATCTTTTCCATGACACTATAATTCAGAAATCGAAGACCAACTGAAAACGAATTCACTTGTATTTCGAGCATAAATCTCACAAGATATATGAAATAATATAAGTAAAAATAAGGGGAAAATGCAACTAAGTTTGCTTTAGTTCCTGTCAGTGTAACGAAGTTTCAAAATTTCTTATTTCATATCCATTTTTTGACTAGTAACCTGTTGATCTTGTAACATTTGTTGACATGGATGTCTATGGGGTTGTTTTTACAGCTTAATGAGCTTAATGGGACTCACAGCTTATTCAGTCATCTATACATGACTGTTTGGTAGTAGCATAATGATATAGAAAGTGGCTCATTCGGTAAGCTTCTAAGGGGAGCTTTATGCATTAAAGCAAGTTTTTTCCCAAACCTGCCTATCCCAATTAAAAAACATGCGTCCTTCCATCTATGAAAAAACCTTACCAATCTATACAGACATATTAATCCACTCAGACAACTTTGTCGATACAGAACTTAATGGAAAACCAACCAAATAGCCCCTAAGTTCTCAAGTTATATTGATTTTTTTAAAAATATTAATGGTGGATCAGCATGTTACCGGTCAAAATACACATTATCAAATTTTATAACATTAGTAGGTTACAGGACAAAATAGATGGAAAATATAAAATTTTGAAACTTCGTTACTAAAAAGAAGCTAATGCAAATTTCGTTGTGTTTTGATGCCCTAAAAATAAGAAAAGATACCTTTTAAGGAAATCTAAGCTCTTCTCGACACCAATACGACCAACATGTACAATCAATGGCCGATCAGGTTCACCGTTGCTGTTTATGAAACAAAAACATGCATCAAATTCTGAAAATGAAGAAAATATGTGCAAACTGACATGATCAAGGAGTTGAAATAAAAATCATACGTTAGTCGAACTCGCATTTCTTGAGAACGGAAAATGGGATTGAAACTCTCTGAGTCAACGCCCTTATTCCATAGACGGATTTTGTTAGCTGAAAAAGGCAACACATACCTATTATAATCCATTCATAACAGTTGTACGATATTGATAAATTACAAGAATTACCGGCTGTTACTCTTGCTTGTCGAAGATCCTTTGCAATAGCAGCCGATGGCACCAATGTGAGATCAGCTGCCCTGTGAAGAAACTCTGATACGAGAAGTAACATCATCATTTCTTATCCCAAAGAGAGATGACAAAAAAGGATGACAAAATATAACGTTCAGTCAATGGCCCAGCAGTACCCGAGTAAATCCCAACCTCCTTGGAGGTCATGGTTTCAAGTCAGGAGTGTGTGTGTGAGTTTTGCCGTATATAAACATTATATACTTTACTATATATATATATACACACACATAGACGAAGGATCGTGTAAGAAGGGATCTGGGCTCTTGACCACTTTTAATCTCAAACCCACCCATGTATCGCACTTGATACGGGATTGATTCGGTGCATCTCATCCTAATGTGCATACAAAGATGGAGATCCCTTCTTGCGCTTCTCACCTTAACTCTCTTTCTCACCGGAACCCAACCCTATATACATATATACATACATACATTATGTGTATATAGGGTCTGGTTCAAGGGAAAACCGCACAAAAATGAAAAACTGAGGAACACCGTTCATCTGGACTATATGCACATCAGCACATGTGCATACAAGTAATTTTTAAGCAATTTGTCCGGTATGCACACGTGCATAAAAACCAAGAAACAACTTCAATTACTTGTATGCACATGTGGTCCAGATGAATTGTTACCAAGTGTCCCTCAGTTTTTCATTTTTTTTTTGAGTTTCCCCTGAACCTCCCTCTATGTATATATATATATATCTGTATATATATAGAGGGATCAAATGCAAACCGAGCCATTTGTATAGACCGTCGATTTCATTGTTTAATTTAATTAAATTGTTTCATATCATTCTTTTCTTGATGAAATTGTTTCATATATTTTTGTTTCTACGTAAAAATGAAACATCTCATGTATTTCTCATTTTGATGAAATTTGATTTCTAAAATTAATATAATGAACATGATAATGTCCATAATTAACGTCCTCCACAATAAAAATGACTAATCGACCCTCATAATTAAAAAAAGTGAAAAAAACAAAAATTATGATTGGTGAATGAGGTTTGTACGGTTTATACAAATGGCTTGGTATGCATTTGATATCTCTCCTATATATATATATATATATATATATATATGTAAATATAAAGGACATGAGATGAAAAGAAGAGTTACCACATACTTAAAACTAACCACATAGGTTTGACGAGCCAGCTAAATGTGTATCTTGGTATGTAACTGCATTCAAAATAGAAATTATACTCAGCCCAGATCACTAAACATGTGTAGCATACGATATGCGCTCGCCATCTAATGAAAATCTAAAAGGTACCCTTGTCTGAAAACAAAGCTAAAATTACTTATTTCGAAAGCCGAGGGTCTTCATGGAAACAACAGGTCTACATACATCTAACCCCTCCCGGGCCCCACCTAGGAGCGGATATACTGGGTTAGTTTGGTTTGGTTTATCAGATTTGATCCACAAGATTCATCAATTTGCAATAATTATGAGGGTATTGAAGACATTTGACTAATAGTCAATCACTTCTAAACTATGCTTCGAGTTAAAAGTTGGCAATTTTCATGAGGACAGAGGGCGTATCATGCTTTGAATCATTTAGTGATGGATGTAGTTTTGCTTACACGGGGACATGCGTATGATAGGACATGACAATAGGAACACACAACATTTTGGCAATAGCGAGTGCGCCGAAAACCTATAATTCACAACAAGAATGTTATTACTGTAACACGATCTTGAAAATTAGTGAGATAAGAGTATAAATGTACCATAATACCCGGAGATGATGCGTGGATGATGTCAGGCTTAAATTGTTTAACCTCATTGATGATTCTAGGGCTCAATGCAAGAGAAAGTGGCACATTTTGGTACCATGGGCAAGGGAAGCTGCACAAGAAAGAATCAAGAAATTGTTAGCACTGAGTGGTCACCAGATTGAGCGGATGTTAACTTCAGCATCACATGGGATTAGTCAAGGTGCGCACAAGCTGGCCCACACAGCCACCCACACACCCACAGTTATTCAAAAATTTGCTAGCATGATTAAAGTTGCAATAGTGTTCATTTTGTGATCCCCTTTATCATGCCCCCTAGTCGTCAATACGAGATATTGATGGTATTGAGTTCCATCCATATTATCCCCCTAATTTGGCATTATTGAAGGGCATTTTAGACATTTGAGTAGTAGACAAAAACTTCTAGAAAACGTGGTGTTGCGTGATATAAGTTCCAAACTTTAGCTTCATTTAACCATATGATATCTAACTACAACAAATTTGAAAGAAATTAACCTTCGTGAGCCAACCAATTTTGCTCCGTGAAACTCTTGAGGCACCCCTTCATGAGTTGTTATGACCATCACCTATACAAAAGTGATTACGCCTTTAGTAGTTGATTCTAAGCATGTACATTTCTAAAAGAAGAAAGTGTTAATATTTCCGACTAGTAAAACCCACTCCATTACTTCAAACCAAATGAATCCAATAAATCGCACACGGGATAGGACCTTTTTCTACTCCAAGGGGTAGAGATGTTGTTTCCATGAAGACCGCCAACTTGCAAAAAAAATATTTTTTGGGATACAAGTTTTATAAAAACTTTGGGAATCTTAAGCGACCCCCAAAAATATGTCAAAAGGACAAGAAATGAAGGCATGGGCCTTTGGGACTCCTCCCGATAGGCCAGCGATTCAAGTCCTTCTAAGGCCACCGGGCCCATGGGAAGTCGAGGTGGGCGCAAGCTGGCCCAGCCAACCATGGTTAACAAAACTAAAGTTTGAAAGTGCTAAAGAAGAAAGAAAGAGGTGAAGTTGTCGACAAGATGACAATTTTGGTTCTTAGTATTAAAAGGTAACAAACAACATAATTTTATGATCTATAATGTACCTCATCTCCCATCTCGCGTAGATATTTAATGAAGTTCTGAAACCGATTCTTGTACCCGGAAACATACCTACAATCCAACGAGATTAGATAAAAGCTACTTAACACCCATGAATTTGGGTCAAGAATCAAGATACACTAAATGATATAATCGATTTCATTAATTACTAGACGAAAAAATCTTTGTCAACATATAAATTCGAAGTATTTCTTAGTTTAAAAGAGGTACACTACCACTTAGGGTCAATCTCTTCTAAGGACAAAGAAGTCTTTTGTAACACGGATGGTTTGGCCACTATTACAAGCCCTGAAGTTCTAAACCAAACCAAACAAACCCACTAAATCCCACGTAGAGGTAGGTCTTGGGGTAGGATGTAAGCAGACAGGCCGATTGCCTTAGATGCTCGTGACAAGAACAAGAAGATTTTTGTATTTTGTTTTCGTTCATATGGGAAAGGTTTCCTAAAAAACAAACATAACAAAGTTGAACAAGTCTAAAAGACAGTTCTCAAGGGCTGACTTTATGCGTACGCGTCTAAAGATTTGTCGTATTCGTGCAAAAGACGAATACCGCCAATAAAAAAAGGCGTTTGTTAACACTAGCAGTTGTCATCTTGCTTCTATGTAAGCAAACAATCACATTAACAGCATATAATCAAGCTGGCAAATCCCCACTTTAACCATACAAAGATGCATTCATTCATAGTGGGTGGTTTCAATGGCGGATGATCGATGATCATCAATTTGGATCTGATCATATCGAAATCCATCAAATTTGCCTAACAGCAAACTCATAATCACATGATACAACATCAAATTAAGCAGTTGATTTTGTTATGGAATGAAGATTATAATCTTTTAACACAGTTGTATGGAATGAAGATTATAATCTTTTAACACAGTTGTATGAACACCCATAAGTTCTAAGGCGGTAAAATGACTAAAAATCTCATTGAATCCATTAATCAAAGCTCATAAATGGTACCTAAATGCACTCAAACGAATAGAATCACATGAACAACAAAGAACCAGATTATCCACATTAAAAGGTAGTAACAATTGAAGCAACAAATATGAACCTAATCAATCAATCAATTCCATAACCTGAAAAGCGAAATTAATCGAATTGAACAAAGAGAGACTCACGCAAAGGGAGAGGGCTCAACAAAGAGAGCAATACGCCTAGGTTTAGTAGTAACCTCAGATTCAACTTGAGAAGGAGGACCCTCTTCATCATCTTTTCTCAATTCCTCAATCGTCACTTGTTTAGCTGAAGAAACTATGATGGGTGTTGTTATTCTTCGTTCATAACGAAAGAATCGAGGCTTGGAGGGGGTAAAACAGATGGGTTTTTGTCTAAAAGCATAGAAACAAGAAATTCTTGAACTGGTAACAATGGAAGACGAAGATGAAGATGCAGATGCAGAGGATGATGGAAGAGAGATAGATGGGTTCAAAGAGATTAGCGATGTTGGCATGATTGTAGTAAATGGGGAAAGAGTAGACAGAGATTGTGGGTTTTATTTGAGGAAATTTGAATTGAAGGGATTTATCTGAAATGGATATTCGAATTGGTGGTGATGATGAAATTGGGGGAATATGTATATGGTGAAGGTTTATAAACAGCATATGCTGCTGTGACCCCATTTGAAGATGGAGCTTTCAATCGCTACTCACAAAACGTGCAAAAAATGATATCTAGGTCATATTTTAAAAGGGTAAATAGGTAATTTACATGAAAAATACAACGTATGATGTTTTGATTTTTTTTAATAATGTAATATATATATATATATATATATATATATATATATATAGAGAGAGAGAGAGAGAGAGGGGGTTGGGTTACGTTGCAAACTGCTCAATTCATGAAAACTATGCAAACCATTTTCGACCAATTATTAAAATTCCGTTTTTTAATTTAATTTTAAAAAATAAGGGTATAATGGTCATTTCATCGTATATTGATTAATATTGGAAGGTAATAACTACTGTTAATTATGAAAATGTATTAATGAAAACGTTTCCTATGGAAGGAGGTAAAGCTTTTTCTTAATATTATTTTTTTACCATTAAATTTTTTTGTTATTTTACTAAATTATTCTTATTAAAATATGGATTGTAAAAACAGTAGAATATGAAATCTGTATTCGTTTCATTTCTTAACTAATTAATTCTTGCATTTGTGTATCCGACTATCATCATACCCATAACACCCCCCCCCCCCTCTCCCAATTAATTCATGCATTTGTTATTCGACCAGCTTGCGTGCATCTCAACTAATTTTATAAGACCCTAAATTTAATAATCATAATAACAGAGGACTCGTAATGACCAATAGAAAGCAAACCCAAAACATGATTAATTAACCTTAAGAGGATTAGCTCACTGGTGATAAGATTTAAGCATTTGGGTCTCCTGAACATGGGTCAATAATTCGATCCCTCCAACACCAATAAGTATTTTTGTGATTGTTCTCTAGAACGACATAGTCCTATGAGATTAGTCAAGATACATGCAGCTGAATCAGACAAGCACATTAACAAAATGATATGATTTCATAAATTAGAACAAAAATAAAAATATGATTGTAAATCTGGGTGATTGAGCGTTAGGTAGATAAAAGCTGCAAATGAAACAATAGATATTTAGAGAGGGTTTGGGATTGCTTATTTGAAACAACTTATTTTTTCTACAAAAGTTCTTATTAACTTATTTTAAGTTAGAATGGTTTAACTTCTTCAAAAACTCTTTATTACCGGTTTGACACTCGTATAAGTTGTTTATTCAAACACTCAAAAGTGTTTATTACCGGTGTCACACCGAAACAAGTCAATAAGTTATTTTTATAAGTAATCTTAAACATCTCCTTAGATATCTGAATATGTTATTAACCCGGTGACAATAATTTATATTATTTTACCATTCAATAGATAAATTCATTTTAATTCAATTGTATGATATTTAAATATTAATATAAATTAGAGATTAAAATTCGTCTGTAATATAAAAACAAATAAAATTAAAAAACAAAACAAAACTTGCACCTCAAGCAAAACATAGTCAACAAGTGCCCAAATACATGGTTTTGTATCCATTTTCATAATCACTTTGATTTTTAATAAGATTTGTAAAATTAGAAGGGTATTTATGTAATGTAATGAGATACATCTTAATTTTAATATTTTATTTTATTTTTTTATCTCAATCGATGTTATAATATGGTTTTATGTGATTTTAAAAAAGCGATGATGTTTTTATTTTTGAATAAAATATAAATTTGAAAATATCATAAAATTTTGACATAATTATATCGATATTAGTATCAAATTAACTATTTAAAATTCTTCAATTTTTGTTTTTTAATTCAAAATTTTTAATTATAATTTAATTTAAGTTCAACAACGAATAATTTATATTTGGTTTAGTAATATAATTTTGTTATAAAGATAATAGTTAATTATTTTGTTAAAACTTGATAATTATTCTAATTATATTTGTAAATTTTTTATATTTTAAAATAAAATGTTTATCTTGTATTTGACTATGTTTATCTACAGTTATTTATACGAATTCAAACATGAAGCTTTAACAAATTATATTTACGCACAATTTGTTTGTAATCTTGAATTTTAAGTAATATGCATCAATAAACAGTACTTCATGCATAAAAAATAATTTTTAAAAGTTTTTATCAATGTTTTATAATATAGTATAGATAATTAATGTCAATTTAATACAAAAGACATTGTTTTTTTGAAATATAGTTTGTTAGGTTATATATATAACTTTGTCTTAAAAATTTATTGTAACATGTTTATACAAATTGTGTAATTATCAGTATTAAGAACAAAATATTCTCAATTTTATTTTATGGTATGTGGTCGTCGGCATTCTAATTAATTTATTTTTTCTTATCTATACTATGTTATAAACTTTTGATAAAAACTCTTAAAAACTATTTTTATGCATTAAGTACTGTATATTGATGCATATTACTTAAAGTTTAATATTACAAGTAATTTACGTAAGTACAACTTATTAAAGCTATCTATACTATCTTATAAAGCATTTGGCTAAAACTCTTAAAAATAACCCCTATTGCTAATAGTACAACTTATTAAAGCGATCCCTAAAACCCGTTCAAATATCCTATCAACGATTTCATCGATCCTATCCCTAAACCCAATTCCCTCCCTAACGATTTCATCGCCAACAGATTTTGAAGAATACAGATTCGATTTCATCCCTAACCCAGTTCGATTTCATAAACTCTAAACGATTTCATCGCCCTCCCTAATTCGTGCATATCGTTCTATCGATTTCAAGTGCTTCGTGCATATCGTTCTACCAACTTCAACTACTCAACCGATTTAGATGGAGATACTTCACATCCTCTACTCATATAAATTTGAAGCAGGTTTTCAGAGTATCTTGTTTTTGTTTTCCGGAATACAAGCATCCAATTTTCCAAGGTTTGTTTCTTTTACCATATTGTTCAATTTCTAGGGTTTTTTTTTTCTATGGCATCTGTTTTATGGTGTATGTTAGGCAAAAAAAATTGTGGCTAATGCTTTCAAAGTATTATCTCGTGCAGTTTGTATTGCTACAAGATATAGTGCAGTTTGTAGACAGTTTGGCTCACATAATGGTGGACCCGAGACCCAGGTTATTCAAAAATGTGATTTTGTTTTTGTCATTTTTTTGTACGGAGTCACAACAATATCTAGCTGAGTTGATTCAGGTCTTTAAATGTTTGAATATTTTGTTTTTGGCTTAGGTGATTGATTATAAAACTCAGCAAAGTAGACTCTTCCCTTTGCTGGCTTCTGCTTATGCCTTCAGATTTGTTAGTGAATGGTTGATGTGTGGATGAGCTTTCATGAAAAAATATTTTGATTTAAATGCTACTTTCAAGTTCGTTGATAATGTCATTTTTTTCTTCTATTGTGAATTTTACAGATGACTGCTCTGTGGCTTATTGATTTGATTTCTGGTGATTGGAGAACGACTGATTGGTTTTGTTTATCAAAAGGGGAAATTGTTTAACTATTGTACAGTGATTTTTGATTCCATTGAGAAGTTTGTGTTAGAAGTTCACGATTTAAAGTTTGTGTTAGAAGTTAGAGCATGATAATGAATTATTTGACTGAGGTTGTGGTAAGTTGAATGAGAAGTCCCAGAAAATCRATTTATAGTTCTTCCAGCCACTAATATTTCTTTAAAYCGTTTCTGCTAAGTTTACAYCARCCCAAGTTTTAACTTTGCAATACACACAACTTGATTTGCATTATAACGATAAAGACATTATAACATCATCCTCATATCTCTCCAATGACCTGGAAGATAAAACTCCACTTGATGATCATGTGTTTCAGAAGTACAGTTCCATAAAAGCAAGACATCCGGTTCTTAGGGTTGAAGAAACATTGTTTGTTTAACTATGGTATAAATTTGCATAAATTATTCTCTTGTTTTACTCCTTTATGTATTCCATGAATTTTGAGATTTGGAAATAATTTGGAAATAATTTTCCTTCATGCTTTCTTCAGCCTTAAAACAGAGGATTCGAATGTGGTTGTTCATGTTCAATTTTTTTGTAAGTTGGAGGACTTGAACCTTCTTTGAAAGTTTGTAGCTTTGATAGTGAGAATGATAAATGAACTGGTTGCATGCTACAGATTTTAGTATTATGCTTTTAGGTGCAAGGAGGAGGAATTCGCTGACTTGTAAATAAACATGGATATAGTTGTTCAATGAAGGTTTCTTCGTTACTGATGATCTTAATGTACTTCCAGTGTTGCCCAATACAACCATCATACTCCTTAATTCTCTTGGTCTTGGAAATATTGATTTGCTGGATGAAAGGACCACGTGTTTTGGCATAGCAGAGGTAATGTTTTTATTTATTTATAGCAGTTTGGATCATTTATTAAGAATATATCGTTTAACACTATTTTTCCCTTTCAAATTATTTTTTCAATTTTTGGTGGCCATAGTGGGAATGATTTGCTGAGCCAACTGTAACTTTAATGCTTCAGTCCTGCATTCAACTTTAACTATAAAAGTTGTAGTCTTTTGGATTACACGATATTGAAGCAACAACATGTATAAATCTGTTTGCATCGAGAATCAAATGAGAAACTGTTATGAAAGGTCTTGGAAACATGAAAATCAATGTTTAGTTACACGTTCAATGGCCAATCAACCAGTCATGGGTTTGCAGCTTGGCCAAGATGCATCTACGGTAGTATATAGCTCACAAGAATCTCAACTGTTAACTTTTTCTACATATAATCACTTTCCATCTTTTATTTAAATTGTTTTTTTGTGTTATATGTATAAGGTGCAACACAGTGGTTAAAAACACAAAATGAAAAGTAAGTAGATAATCAAGGGCATGTGTTGTTCCAAGTTCTAACCTTACTTTCTCCTTTTGGCATAGATGGATCTCACTGCAATGTATGACATTTTGCTAAAAACAGGATATGAAGATGAAGTGGGGGCTAAAAATGAGGTGTGCATAACTCTTTTGTCTTATATT